AAAATGGCCACATTGACCTGCTCAATGAAATTTCCTGTGACTAAAAGTAAATGGGGCATTTGGATCATCTCCCAGTGACAAACAGGGTTCAGGAAAGTTAAAGCTATCATTTTTCATCATGCCTTGTCCTGATATGTAAGATCCACTTCAACTAATTAAGACAAAAGTTTTAAAGAAACTATCATGGGTTAATAAAAAGATAAATGACTTGAAATATTACTTGATTAGTCCCCCTGCTTTTAATTGAATGTATACCTATCCCATTTCAGAGTGGTAAACATTTACTGCAATATTAAGGACCCAAAAAAGGAGATGCTTGTTACTTTCACTTTTCACCCAAACTGCCTGTGTCAAAATTCCCTATGGTCATGACCGCACTTCCAGAGTCCGAGCTAAATCATTCACATAACTCCCGAACTACCTTATGAATGAATTGTCTCTTATAAGTCAATTCTGACAAGTCAATTCAGTTGAAGAACATTGCTTTAAATTTAAGGGCAGACGATGTTTTGTTGAGTTGTATAACTGAAATCTGTATGGTTTTATGAACAAATATCATCCCAATAAATCCAGTGCTGGGACTATACTCTAAGAATCCTGAAACACCAATTCAAAAGAACCTATATGCCCCAATGTTCACAGCAGCACAATTTACAATAGAAAAGTATTGGAAGCCACCTAAGTGCCCATCAGTAAATGAGTGGATCAAAAAACTGTGGTACATTTACCCAATGAAATGCTATGCAGCAGAAAGAAAGAGGGAGCTCTTACCCTTTGCAACAGCATGAATGCATCTGCAGAGCATTACACTAAATGAAATAAGCCAGGCAGTAAAAGACAAATACCATTTTATCTCATCTATAAGTGGAACCTAATCAACAAAACAAGCTAGCAAAATATAACCAGAGACATTAAAATTAAGAGCAAACTGACAGTAACCAGAGAGGGGAGGTGGGGGGGGATAATGGGAGAAAATGAGGAAGGGCTGTCCAGGAACATGTATAAATGACACATGGACAAAGCCAAAGGGGAGTAGGATAGAGGGTGGGAGGTGGTGGTGAGTGGGGTTGGGGGAGTGGTCGAGGGAAAATGGAGACTAGTGTACTTGAACAACAATAAAAAATTATAACTAACAAAATAAATAAAAATAAAGCTTTTAAAAACTAAAAAATACATAAAAAAGAAAAAAAGCTAAAATATGTTTTATGCTTAGATATGTATCTTCTATAAAAAATAAGAAATCTTAAAAAACAGATATTAATTAAATATATCTAGAGACTTTAAAAGGAACAGTTAACTACCTACAACAAATTCTTTGAAATCATATTTAAAAGTGCCATACAAAATTTAAATGCTTAAAACTCCAGAAACATAATGTCAATTCTGTAGTCACTAAACTATTGAATTAGTGCCATACTGATATATAAAAGCTAATAGAACACAACCTCATAAAATGTTTCGAAAACTTGATTTTTTCCAGTATTTCAACTAGAGACTTAACTACCAGCAGTGCACAGGTACTAGATGATGGTGCCTGTGCATTATCTCAGTTAATCCTCACACCAATCTTAGAAGGCATAAGAATTCCCATTTAAAAAGTACCATTATCATCTCATTTTACAGGTAAGAAACATGCTAGAGCCAATACTTGAAGCCAGACTTTCATATTCAAAACCCCCTGCTCTTTATCTGTATGAAGGTGATTTTTCACTAGAATGATAGGCTGAACTGTACTATCTATACTCTGTTACTGGACATGGCTACCTATTTTTGGCAAAACTAACCTGAATTATGTGCATTAATCTGAGACTATAGGGAATGCCCTGAAACTCCAGCCAGTAACAGGATTGAAAATTCCCAAATCACTTTTGTTTACATGTTGGAAATATTATATCTATAATAAGATATTATGGACAAAAAATACAGCTGTGTAATAAATCTTACCAAAAGTCAAATTTATGATTTGATCATAAATTCCTAACAGGGCAGGTCATGGTGGGTAGTCTTGCCTCATGCCTATAAAAGTTTTATCTTAACTTCAGCACACCCTGTCCATTATTCTTGGGCCTTAAAGGCCAGAGTAAACTTCTTTTTCAGACCCCCTGGAGGCTTAACCACCCTTTAGGAGACACGTAATCTTTTTAACTGTCTGTATCTTGCTTTCTCCCACCTACATGTCATCTTCCTTATGTCCCTTCCTTAATTCCAAATGTATAAATGAAACCTCAAAAACTTATTCTTCAGAGCATGTGAGGTCTTTCTACATGATACATCATCAGTTTGGCTTAAATAAAACTCAAATACATTCTTATAAAAATTCTCTACAGTGTTAATGTTTTGTATGTTGACAATACACTATGGTTTTGAGTTATATAACCTCAAGGTGGCATTAAAAAACACAGGTGATCTATCACTGTGATTGTAACCTTTTCTCTGTGTCTGTATATGCCTCTGCCTATGACCCTCTGCCATTGGTACAGTGGCTCTTATTTTGACAGTGATTCTCAGACTGAAGAAAGAAATGATTTCCATTTTTTCAAAGGACCCATCAGAGGGGTGTAGGTGCACATCAAAGCTCCCTGGGTGACTTTGAGTGACTGCCCCCTCCCCCCAGAGGTGTTTTCCTGTCCTCAACATTTAAAATCCTTGATATATAGAGAAATGATAAATAACACGCACCAAGTGATTTATCTGAGCCAGGCACTGTTGTATGGACTCATTCAATCTTCACAACCAATTTATGAACTATATTAACATTCCTATTTTACACATAAAGAAAGTGAGGCTCAGATAATTTAAGGAACTTACCCAAGGTCACACATCTAAAAATAGGAGAGCCTGGCTTTGATCTAGGAAAATCTAACTCCAAAGACAGCACATTTAATCATCATACTGTATTGCCTCTCACTCTTTGGTTGGAATGATCATTTTAAGAAATCACCAAAACAAATGTGAAAACAGCCCTCAAAGTCATAGTAAAGTGACTCAAGCAAAGATTCAATGAGGAAAATTATTTCATGAATATAGGTCCATTCTGATCTAAAGTGGACCTTGGCTTATAAAAATTCAATTCGGACCTCCCTCTCCCACTCTTTGTCTCTCTAATGTATGTTGATTTTTTTAAAGATTGTATTTATTTATTTTTAGAGAGGGAAGGGAGGGAGAAAGAGAGAGAGAGAGAAAAACATCAATGTGCAGTTGCTAGGGGCCATGGCCTGCAACCTAGGCATGTGCCCTGACTGGGAATCGAACCTGTGATGCTTTGGTTCTCAGCCCACGCTCAATCCACTGAGCTATGCCAGCCAAGGGAATGTTGATTTTTAAAAAATAATTTTGCCCTTGCTCTAAACAACTGTTACTAAGTAGTCTTGATTTTGCCCAAGTGCCAAAGTACCACTATTGTATAAATCATGTAACTCTACCATCTTCTTGCTTTTTAGAATTCAGTTTCTCTATTTATTTCATTAAAAATAACATCATTAATACATATCACTTATTTGATTACTTTAAAAACATTTAGAAGCAAAACACCGTACAAATCTAAAAACTAGGACTAAATTTAATGACATAAATGAATCTCATAAATGTAATATTTAATAAAAGAAGCCAGGTGCAAAGAAGACATACAATGATGCAATTTCTATAAAGTACAAAAACAGGGAAACTGATCCATGATGTTAATGTTTTGGACAGTGGATACCCTTGAGGTGGGACCCAAGGGGGTTTCTGGTTCTGATACTATTGTGTTGCTTCTTTATCTGCCTGATGTTTACACAAATACTGCCTTTGAAGAAATTCACTGAGAGTAACACTTATATTTTATGAACTTTTACACTGTTATATTTCAAAACAATGGTTTGCATTAAAAATATGTCATCCACAATTCTCATTTTTCTAATTGTAATTTAGCACAGCTTTTTCTCTTCTAAAATATATGATTAATGTTTTATTAACAAAGTTAAAAATATTTCTGCATAACACTGTAAAATTACTTTTTCTAAATATGAGTTTTAAGTCATAATTTATTAAGGTATACTTTATATACAGTAAAATTCATCCTTTTTAATGTACTGAACTATGACTTGTGATGAGCACATACATTTGTGCAACCATCACCATTATCGAGATAGAGAAATGTTGTATTATCCTCCTAGATTTCCTCATACCTTCTTGTAGTCAACCTTACACTTCCCTCCCCAGCCTTTGGGAACACTGGTTGATCTTCTGTCTGTACAGTTTTGCCTCTTTCAGAATGCCATATCAGTGGAATCATACAGTGTGCATTCTTTTAACTACAGATTCTTTCATTGAGCATGTTTTAAGATCTATCCCTGTTTGTTGTATGTCAGCAATTACTTCCTTTCTATTGCTGAGCAGTGTTACAATATATGGGTATACCGCAGTTAAAGAATCCTTGAGTAATTAATTTCTAGTTTTGGGTAATTTTGAATGAAGCCACTATATTCATTACATAGGTTTTTGTATGGATGCAATATATTTAATTTTTAGGTTTTAACTTGTACTTGTGCCTGCACAAAATATTTTCTATATTGCCTTTAGTCGATGGTAATTCTGTTACCTGGGCACATACCAACCAGTTCAAAATAATATAAAATCAGAAATTGAATCAAATAACAAATATTTTACAAAAATATATCAACTTTTGCAAATTTTTTCTTAAAATATTTCTTTTTGAAATCATCGACAGAATTAAGAATGATATATTCAATGAAAGTTCTAGCTAAAAAATTCAAAATTAGTTAATTTTCCTTAATTGTACAAAATTAAAAATAATGATATTAACTAATCTGGATTCCAGAGTCACAATCAATGAAGTGAGAAGAGGTAAGAAATGTGGCTTGAAAAAGTTAAGTGCTCAATGCCTCTTCCTATCTTCCCAATTTAACATATTACAAATTTCACCCAACCAGTTAGTACTTTTCATCCATGACCATTGGGAGAGGATTCGAGCGACAAAATGGAAACATGGTAGATGTTACCTAGCATGTTGTGGTAAAGTGGAATGGCCCGTCCAAGGATAGTAAATGCAGTCATGACTAGTGGGACCGCTACACCTGCAGGCAATTACAGAACAGAAAACATCATTCTCCATTCACAGTGACATGCACACTCATGCACCAGTGCTCACACATGGAGCCTCCAGGAAGAACATGGGAAGCAAGCACACCAAGTACCTATCCATCAGGCCGATGCAGTCTTCAATACTTGAGCCTATGCACCTGCAGAAGATGCAAATTTAAAAAATACAAGAGCAATTAGTCATTTAAAAAATCAATAAGAAATGTACCAGTTGTGACAAATTCTTAATTATAGTTATTAGACAATCTTGGAACACCATGAATTTAAAGGCAGTGAGAATATTATTGCTGGATGGATACCCAGAAATAAATTGCAAATACCACCCAAGTGGAATGCATAGAACCATATTCATGGAAAAGGATGTTTCACTCTATTTCTGTGGATAACTTCCAAACACATATTGCTCATTTGTAATACGTGCAGTTCATTTGCATTATTCATAATTATGTCTCGATGAAAAACTTATATTTCAATGGCTGTAATTGGTTTCATGCATACGATTTCCTTGAAAAGCTCTTATATTTAAGTAAAAAATAAAATCAATAAAAAAGGAAACATGAACTGTTTCATATAATATAATTACCTGATGCTTAACACTCTTTAAAGATTGATTTTGGCAGAAAGTGAGTTGGCATTCTTTAATGTTATTCTCATAGATGCTTTACATAATCACATTATGCCATTCCTTGGTTGTGACTGTCTTTAAAACACACTTATCTTTAAACATGAATTCATTTAAAAAGCAAATTAACTGGCTTCACCATCTTGCAGTTTGTCTTGACACTCTCTTTTAAAAGATCAGTGCCATAACAAGCAGACAAAAACAGCTTTTTAAACTGCCAAAATATTGAAGTTAGTTAATAACAAATAAATAAATCCTCTCCAAGGAAATGAATAAGTTCAGATCTAGGTAACTAAACAATCTACTGAGATTAACATTTAAGTAAAATAACGTAAGTACACAAAACTCTGATGTACACTCCCTAGAATTTCATTTGTAAGTATTCTAGAAATATTTTTTCCATCTTCCAATTTTCTTGGATTGCTTTCCTTTCCATTTTTCCCCATCAAAGACATAAAGCTCCAAAGCATTATCAAGATTCTTCCTACAGCTATGATTTATAGAACTGTCTAATTCTGCTGGTAATAAAAATGATTTTTCCAAACAAAATCTCTAAAACAGTAAAAGAAGGTGAAGTTAAAATCACTATATAATGAATAAAATATGTATCATATATAAGGCCAGCCTGCCCATTATATATTTAAATAACTAAACACTGGTGAGCTAATATAATTATGCCTAATAATGATTAAGTCATTATTTTCCTGCATCAAGAATATAACATTCATACCAGGTGAAAAATGGGAATTGTTTTGAGGATTGGTTTGATAGGTCCAGAAAACTTTTAATGTACAGATATATGACAAATACATTGTGTACAAAGTTTAAAAAAATTAGCAAGTAAATAACTAGAGCATGTAATTTTGAATTGATATCATAATCCCTAAATACAATTATTTTCTAAAATGAGAAAATTAAGTACTAAAAACATTTCCAAATTGTCTTGCATGTTTTTCTTTGAATTCTATTCTGAAGAATTGATTTTTTCTAGGTTTCTATTATATCTTCCTCAAATTCTTTTATAACCTATGATTAGTTTATAATCTGTGTTTTTATAATAACCTTTGAAAAATAAAAATTTTTGAAAGTGAAATTAACCCTCAGGAGAAAGTGTGAATAACAGACCATTCAGTTCGTTCATTAAAAAACAAAAACAAAAACCTGTTTTGCATCATGCCCACTCAGTGTTCTTACTATTCTAGGAGCTGGAGGCAAAAAAAAAGATGAATTAGACATTTGTCTGTTTTTTATGAGCTCAGAACACAATGAAGGAGCCAGATGTGGTAACAGGGATAGGGAAAGGAAGCTAGAGCATGAGACAGGCGCCAGAATTTGAAGACTTCACTTAGACACATACTTAATAAAACCACCAGGGGGTTTCAAAGAAGTAGAGAAATTGTTGGCTTTGTGTTTTACGTAGATCTCTATGTGGAGGCTGGGCAGCTGGTATCCAGAAAGACTTGTTTGGAAAAATTGTTTTAGTCTATTCAAGAAATGATGGACTAAACTAGGAAAATGGTACAAAGGCAAAGAGATGATGGATTCAAGAAATATCTTGGCAAGTATGGGGGGAAAAAGAGGGAAGTCGATGGCTGGTTTGATAATGAAAGTGGAAGGAAGAGTTAAGAATGACTCATATTCCTACCTTTGAGAACAGTGAAACCATTAGTGAGAGAAGGCAAGAAGAGTACCATCATTCCCTTGGCTGTGCTGGGGCAGAAGGAATGGCTAATTTCAGTTTTGTGCATCTATAGCTTAGTGCTGTTCCACAAACCAGCAAGAAATGTTCCTCAGCAGCTGGAAAATGAGTCTGTGGCTGGAGGGTGCGGGTGGGGGCAGAAGGCACGGTGTGATCATCAGTTTTGAAATAACATAGGAAACAATTAAAATCATGTAAGTGGATAAAATGGCTGAAGAAGAATCTATAAAGTGAGAAAACAGAGACTGAGACTGAGACCCAAGAAACTCCAATAACTAGTCAGTGAAAGGGTGTAAGATGAGCTCATGTCAGAAGCATGGGGAAATATAATGGAGTATAGTGAATTAATTACAGCATCCTTGAAGCCCAATCAGAAGGGGACTTCAGGAAGGACGGTGATCATCAGTGTGGGATGCAAAGAGAGGCCTAGTAAAATAAGAACTACCGAGAGTATTTCAGGTGTGATGGTCAAGCTCACTAGAAATTATACTGTGAACTACGGCAAACCGAAGACAGAGGCAATCGAAAAGGAGAGGGAGGGAGAGAGGGGGCAGGATGTGTGTTCCAGAAAGTTGGTTGAGAAGACTGGGTAGGATATTTGAGATTTGAACATGTTTGTGCACTAAAGATGAATGAAGCAATGAAAGATGAAGAAGAATAAGGGTATGGTTGAAGGGGTGCTATCCTTTGTGAGGACAAGTCAGTACTTTAAGATGCATATTCTAGTTCAACTCTGTTCTTTACATAAGCAACTAATGAGCACCTATAATTTATATTGATTCAGCAAGACCACAGAATAATGAAAATATTAAACTTTTGTAGAGTCAAAATCTAAAATGAGAGATTGAATAAAGATACAGAATAATATAACTTTCAAAAAATTCAGTATTCCAAACTAGAAAATTTCTAGAAGGGGCAGAAAGAGAAACTATAATATATCCATGTAACAGTATAAAAATATCCAGAATTTCAAATATTGAGCTGCTTAATATTTGTCACTGCTTATCAATTTATAAGCATCTTGATGTACCCATATAACTAATGTGGTAGAGATATTTTGACAAAATCCCCAAATTTTGAAATGAAAATAGAAAAATATTTAAAAGTTTCAATTGAAGTAGTGTAGACATTAATTCCACAAGCAATACTTCTCTCTTTTTCTCCATCAGTGGAAATTATTTCACTGATAAAATAATAAAAAAGGATTGATAAAATAGATTAAGACAGAGGAAATTTCATAATATAAACTCATGATTTTAACGTTAACAAGAATGTTTAATAAAGTTTTTAAAAGAGGCCTCATGAAAAACACACATCTCCTAGCCCACCTCTAAAACCCAACATTAAATTGACATCTATCATGGACTCAGTTGGTGGTAGTAAGGAAACTGCTCTTTCCTTATGGTCATGTAATTACATAGCAAATTCAGTTAACGAGTCCTCTTTAAAGATTTCTACTTTAAAGATTGAAAACACAAAGCTCATTCCTAAATATTAAATTCTTGCTCACCCTCTCCAAATGTGGGCAAGTGTCTCTAATGGAAGGCTACAAACGGTAAGACTAGAAGTTCATGGGACTGACACGTCCTAGTGGCTCAGAGCTGTGCCCTGCCCACTTCTGAACTTGGCTGCCACCAGGTACGAGGCACAGTAGGTGTTTACATGAGAAAAGGCTGCTAAAATAAAAGTCTTTGAGTCAAGAAAAAAAAAGAGACAACACTGCTTTTTCTTTCCCTTTAGGCATATTAGTGAAAAAGCTCCTGTTAGGTGCTAAATGGGTAATCTGTTTTAAAGGTATCTAAAGAACTTATTAGAGCCAATATACATAATGCGCTTTTAGAGTAGCAAAAGTGCTCTTAAGGTATTAATCAGATAATTTTATTTTCAGAAAATCATTAAGCAGTATTCAGAGTAAGAACTTTTCTTCTTTAAAAAATGTGATTTGAGAGACTGTTTCCATTAACTTGGTTCTTGAATTATCTAGCTGACATAATATTGGCATATGAAAGAAAAGCTGTTTTCCAAAGTGGAGCTGGCCTGGTGAGCTCACACTTACTAACTAATAGCTCAGTAATTACATGTGCTTAGGAATAAAAATAGTCACTTGTCCCGTCATCTCGCTGCCCCAGTGATCCTTTAGCCTGCGAAGTGCACTCCGTTGGTCCAGAGAAGGCCGCCAAACCACAGTGCTGCACAGCTGTACTGTATAGAGTGGCACACAGGAAAATTTGACATTTCTAAATTCTGTTGTGTGGCTAGGGCCACAGAACTTGAGTGAAGTGAGTGAACCTGGATGATACGGGGACTATTAGAAAAAAGATGGCAGTAAACGAAATGAAAACAAAAATAAAAATACTTCAGGACTGAGTTAGTCATTCCAGAATCCATGTACCTGGGAAAACGCCAGGGAGTACAATATTTGAATTCTGTCTAAGCATCATTTTGGAGGAGTGAATTTGAAAACATCTTTCCATTTGCTGGGAGTTCCCACCTGATCTGGCCAGATTCATTCCCTATTACACCTGCCCACTTCCCTTTGGCCATCTAGCATTTGTGGCTGTGGGAAATTGATCTCTTCATTGTCCCCCCTTCTACTTCCACAATATATGCTTTCTTTTATTTTATAATCATGATTTAACAGGGCTGAGGGGAAGACACACCAGCCATACATGCAGACTACGGCTCCCTATGATCTCACTTTCATTGCCCTAATGGCTTCATTGTAATTAGATTTGCAAAAACAGCAAAAGGCCTCATTTTGAATGGCAACAGCTGTTGACATCAACATTATATTAAATAATTTACTGGTTTAATTTTAGCTGCAAAACAATAAAACCCTCTTGTGGATGATTATTTTAGCCAGTAGAGTTTTCTCTTTCAGTTGCTGATGCTTCTGCTCCAGCGGTGCCAGTTGTTTCTTCATGAAATACTCTTAACCTGAGCATGCCAGAAACTCACAAGGGGAGCAGTTTATCCCTGCTAGTTTCCTTGAAGCACAGTGTCTGTGCAAATATTTTAGGATCCTCAACCTACGGGTTTATGTCTAAACCATTGAGTTGGCATTAGCCCTTCCAAGCTGAATTTGAATTTGAATGGCACACTATAACTTTACCTTTGAGGATCTGCCACTTCACAGAATGACTTAAGCTGATTTCTTGACCTGTAGGAAATTAACAGCATCTGCGAATCGATGTCCTCTTGGCAGAAGAGAATGTTGCTTGCTTCACTTCTTCAGTGTCCCCTAAAAGCTAGCCCTTAATCTGGCAGAAAATCTCTTTATGGGATCTCATGCTTTCCTGCCAGATATAAAATAAGCAAGACGATTCTCAACAAGTGCAAGTGTTTGTATGTGTGTGTGCACATGTGTATGGACACTTGCAATGGACAAGGGGTTTTATGGACACAAGGGGGGTAAAGCATGAGAAACTGCTCTGGTTTCTAAAAGTATTCACCTTCGCAGGAAAGAAAAAGAAAGGACCTTACTAATATGTAGATTTGTTGAAAAAATAGTTGCTGGGATTTGTTAGATAACCAACATTAGTTCCTTTGTAGTCCAGTGCTTTTCTTCTTTCTGTTATATCTTTGTTTTCAACTGTAATAGGTCTCAAAAATAAATCTAATTTTTATTCATTTTATAAGATGTAGTTTTGAAAACCAGAAAAATGTGTTGCCCAATCATTGAACGAAAAAAACAGAAAAAAATTCTACATCAAACAAAAAAAATCTGTTACAAGGCAACCTACAACAAAATTACTTTCACAAAAAGCACTCATAATTTTATTGAAATACATATTACCATGTTCCCTGATTTTTCTGCTACCATTACTTTTGCTTATATTTTCTTGAAGGAGTAATCCAAGGCAGTATTCACCAAAGAGAAATTAAACTATGCCCTAAACTGGTTCTAGCAACAAAGAAGCAGAAACAGAAAACCTGTGGTGAAAATTTACTAAGCACACATCTCAAAAGTATAATCACTATCTTTCTTTCCGAATGACTTCAATCTGCAGTAAATTTGAAAGAATTGCTATACTCCATATAAATTATACCCAACACCAACTTCATGAAGTTGTCAATAAAACAGTTCTAGTTAAGTGTTCCACGGAAATACTTAAAAGGGTATAACTTTGATTCCTGAAGCCCTTTTCTTTAGAAAGGATCTTGCTTAAAATCAACCTACTGAATAGCAAGACGAACAGAATTTTGTGTGAGAACACTATACATGTTGCAGGCTGTGTCAGGGAAGCAGGCCCATGAGTGTCCCTTTGGATCAGCAACACCAAATTCAAGTACGAGTCCTTCTCAGCAGGGATGCTTACCCTTGTGTGCAGTTCGGATGACATGGGTGGCACTCCCGATCCTGGTCAGCATATTTGAATATGAAACTGTTTGCCCCCTGTAAGCCATCTGGACATTTTTCCACACAGTTTGGGCCATCCTTAAAGTGGGAGCACTTTGTACAGTTGTCAGGTCCCTGAGGTGTGAAAAATAAAACAGACAAGGAAAAATGGGTGCTGCTCCCTCTGAAACTGTAGGCATGGGGCTTAGTTACTGAGACTTTACTGCGTGGGCTGTACTCTTCTAGGGAACTGGAGAACATTTTCAGCAACATGAAAGGTGATATAGCTATTGTAGCCTTTTGATCACCAACTTTTCCAAGGACTTTTCCAAGGACTTTTCCAAAGAATATCAGTATTTTCTCTCTGTCATTTAGTCCTGGCTGTAGTAAAAAGCAACCATGTTTGATAACAACACTTTTTCCCCAGGGGCATTTTATACAATCGCTGGAAATATGGAAGATTTCTTCCTAAATAGTCAATGAGGAAAAGAAAATAGTAACAGTCAATGAGGAAAAAGAAATTGTATAATACCAAATTTCATCTAAAAGTAAGATATTAATTCTGGTTGTCCAATGACTATTTATTGAAACAATAAATATTAAAATGAAATATGGTTGAATTATCAGGAATTAGGCAGTTTAGGCCAATATAAATTAATTTCTAAATTATTCTCAATCTCAGTCAGTTTATGATAATGCTAAAAGCAATATACTGCTAATACTTAGGGATTTTACTAAATCACAGAACAATACTGAGAGTCATAAAGAGACACATTCTGGTGGCCAAATATAAAAAATTCCATAATGATAAAGTAAATACATATGAAAAATTAATGGAGAAACATATTTACAACAGATAATATAAATATGAGTATGATTACTTTAAATAAAATTAACTCATTTTAAACAATGGGATGGGAGTAAAAGATAGAAAATTGTACTTGAACAATAATTAAAATAAAATTTAAAAAATTAAAAAATTTAACTAAAAAGAAAAAATAAAAGAAAAATATCAATATTTATGTTTATATATACAATAATTTTCAAGTATGTAGGATGTTAACAAGCAACACAGATCAAATATATTAAATATATCTAAATGTCATAGTAAAAGAAAAATTGTAAACATCTAATAATTTTACAAAAAAACTAATTTGCATTTGGTATGGGGGGCACTGAACATGCAAGAAATGAGTAATATATCCTCCAATCATTCTGAGAACATTTTGATTACAAATGATATTTTCTGGAATGATGACAATGTTTTTACTCATTCAGCTCTTTGGGAAAATGATATTACTTGTTTGAGATTTACTTTCAGTTCTCCTTTTTGAACACCATATTGTCTTAGGCTTCCTCTTTGACCACTTCCTTGGAATTTTTTTTCCCTGATCCATTTCTCCCTGAAACCTACACCCACATGATTCAACAGTTATGACAGGTCATATTGACCACAATTTATAGAGTTAAGATGTAGTAAGTATATTGGGAGATAATGCATTTTGTTAGGTTTATAATTATGAACAATGTGGATTTGGAAGCCAAGGGCAAGTAAACTTCATACAGAGCTAGGTATAGGGCAGGGAGCATGGGAATCGGTCCATTCATGGGAGTGCACTGCATCTGTCCATAAATGTTAACCACAAAGCAGGCAGACTTTGCAATCTGGTAACATAAGGCATCTGGAAATTAAGAAATATAATATTTTAATACTTAAAGACAGAGGCTGCTAGTAAACAATAGTAGTGTAAAAAAGTAAAAATAATCTTAAAGATATTTCTAGAAATCCTGAGACTGTTGAGGTTCAATCAGGCACAGGCATCTGTCTATTTCACTATTTTGGTGTGAGACTTAGAGCTTTGACAAAAAAAAATATCCTATGACACCTAACCCCTATTCAAACTGAAGAGTTTGCTATTGGCAACTTCTTATTTCCTACCAGAAAAGAATACTTCACATGCTTCCAATTTTAACACCTGCTCAAGGGTGCTTAGGCATGTAATGCCTTCTATTATACAAAATCATTTACTACACAAGTATGCTCAGTGGCATGACTTATTGTACAAGACAAGGGATGTGCTGATTTTTTCTTGCAGAACACAAGAATAAAACTTGCAATGAGAAAATTAGGCAGCTATTGTTGCAACTAGAAATCAGAAATGATTTTTCTATCTCAGAAATGGAAATCACATGGAGGGTTATCAGTGGGCAGAGGGAAGAGGGAGAACGGAGGAAAAGTTACAGTGAAAAAGAAGCGTAACTGGTAAGTACAAAGTAGATAAGGAGAGGAAATGGAGAAGCCAAAGAGCTTACATGTGCAATGCATGGACATGAACTAAGTGGGGAGAATGCTGGAGGGAAGGGGGTTACAGGGTGGAGGAGGATAAAGGGGAGAAAAATGAGACAGCTATACTAGCATAATCAATGAAATATACTTAAAAATAAAATAAGATTATTGTAATATAAAATAATGTCCAGGTAAAATCAGAAGATATAAAAATTATGCAATTAAAATTTAATTCACATTTAAACTTTAAGTACATTATGAGATAAATCCTTTTTGTTTTTCTTTGTTTAAGTATTTCTTATTTTGATACAAAACCTAGTACTCTAAGCTGACTTAACTAAAAAAATGTCCTGTCAAATCTGAAAAGAAATGTACTGTTTCTCCATCTCATTTCAATAATAAAGAGCTTTAAAGAAATATATGTGTGTAATGTTTATTATTCTATTATTATATTCCCAAAGCTTTTAAGAATCTAGGTTCAGTCAATGAACTGATAAATGCAATAATAATAATAATAGTAATAGTAATAATAATAATAATAATAAAATAGAAGTGAAAGCAATATTCTTCTTTATCTCTGATTTTAAGCTACACCTGGACTCAATAGTCTAGACAGAAACTATAATAGACACTACGTCCTGATGGAAACATTACATATTTTATTTTCAGTGACAATTGGTGTTTTTCTCTAATAGCTACTATAAGAGACAAAGGTACTTTTCACAGGTATCCAATTCTCTTTCACTTCCAGCCACATGGGATTTTGATATTCTCCTCTCACCAGGGGTGAGGTATATCTTGCTTTGGACAACGTAAATAGAAGGGATTTATGAGACTGCCATTGTTAAACCCTCCAGCCTCCTCTTTCCCTGCTGCCATGGATCAAGGACTCCGTGTAGAGAGGGAGGTGCCATAAATTCATAGCATCTTGGAGCGCTAGATCATCACATGGAAGTGGGCTGCCTTAGAACCTTTTCTAGACTTATAGTGCATTTTACATAACAATTTTTTGAAATATTTTCCTGTAAGCTACTATAAAATGAGGACAGCTACCTTAGTTTTCATGAAAATATATTTTAAAAATCAGTTCTGTTCCCCTATCTCTTCTCTTCTTCTATCTCTCTGGCTTATATTTTGGTTGCCTAAAAGTTTGTCTGATTTCCTTACTTTTCTTTCTTCTCACATGCCATCCTTTACCCTTCTAAATAGTACAGGAGTGGTGAATGAGAGGCAGGAAGAATAAAATGGTTAAAGAATAAATAATAATAGTAAAATAAAGAAGACCAAGTGCAGACAGGCAAGGATACAAAAGCAAAGGCCTCCTCTATTTCAAATCTATTCCTCTTAAGAGTATCCTGGATTCCTGTCGTACTTAAATAGAATAATATCATCCTATTTTATATATAGGTGTCATATCCAGAAAGCATGTTATCCTTATTACAGTACAGACATTCTTGCCTGGGGAAAAAAGGGATGAAAAGAGGGTAAATTTTAGAGTCAGAACTTTTACAATTGTCAGTTCCACGTCTCACTGGCTTGCTGACTTTTTGGTGTAACTTGATAATCATTACAGGTTCAATTTCTGTATAGTTTAAATGAAGAATGTGATGGTATGCACCATACATAAATGTTTGATACATATATATTTATATACATAAATAAGTAAATAAGTAAATATATATGTATATGTATAAAATGTTATTATCAAGAAAACATTGACAGATCAGAAAGGTGTGACTTAAACAGAACTAATCATGAGGGAATTCCAGCTGGCTTTATGACTTTTTTCCTCTATCTCATCTCAGTGTTGGTCTCATAGAGAATTTTCCAGAACCTCTTGGATATCTGAAGTGGTATATGCCTGTTTCACGGCACACAAAATCTCCTCTTCTCTGGTTGTGGTAATGAACCTGTGGACTCAGAAATAGGCAAAAACCTAATATGAACTGTGATGGCTGGGAGCAAGCAACCTCCTAATGAGAGCAAATTAAGGCCATTGTTTGAGCTCAGTCCTGCCAGCTTTTCAGACAGCAGAACCTAGAAGACATGTGTTTGTACCTGCTGAGCATTTCAAGGCCTACTGATCAAGTAATCAAGGAGGTTCCCTTGATTCTGTTCTCTGATCTTTCACAGATGCTGATTCAGCATTATCAAACTTTCCCTACTTTTGCCTCCTCTTATCTCCAGACATACCAACTCACAACTTGAGGCCTGGGTATTGCCTTCTCTACTTTCTAAACCAGCGACTTTCAACCGTTTTCATCTCATGACACACATAAACTAATTAGTAAAATTTTGCAGCCCACCAAAACATATATTTTTGCAGTTGTGACCAAAAATAGGTATATTTTGATTTATTCACATTGGATGTCTATTGTTGTGATGGCTATTGTCACTTTTTTATTTGATAATCTAAGGGAAGAGACGTCAGTGCCTCTGACTAAACAGTTAGGTATTGCATGTTTTACACATTCTTGCAGCACACCAGTGTGCTGGGACATACCAGTTGAAAAATCATTGTTCTGAACATATTAATGCATAGTTTTATCCCTGGTTAGTGATTTTAAATATATGATCCAACAATGCTGTCATTAGAGAATCAAAATGATGTCCTTGAAACAACTTAAGAAAAAAAAAGAAAAGAAAACTATCTTAAAGACACAGACAATAATTGTACGGTGATTACCAGAGGGAAAGGGGGGTGGGAGGAGTTAGAAGAGGGCATAATGGGGATAAAGGGTGATGGCAGGAGCCTTGATTTGGGGTGGTGAACACACAATACAGTATACAGGTAATGTTTTATAGAACTGTGCTCCTGAAATCTACATAACTTTTTAACCAATCTCATCCCAGTAAATTTAATATAAAAGTAAAAAAAAGTTTAAAATTAATAAAAATACCTATTTTTTTTAGCCCTGGCTGGCATAGCTCAGTGGATTGAGTGTGGGCTGTGAACCAAAGTGTTGCAGGTTCGATTCCCAGCAAGGGTACATGCCTGGGTTGCAGGCCATAACCCCCAGCAACCGCACGTTGATGTTTCTCTCTCTCTCTCTATCTCCCTCCCTTCCCTCTCTAAAAATAAATAAATAAATAAATAAATAAATAAATATCTTAAAAAAAAGATCAGAAGGAATAAACACTGAAGCCAGAAAATAATACATATTTTAAAAAAAACCTATTTTTCACTCTTTTAATTAGCAAATACTTTTAAAAATGGAAAAGATACTTAGAATGAGTTTTGTATGTGTATTCTGTAAACTGCCTTAATTCTTTAAAATAACAATAGAATTATAGGCAAATTCTTGATTACTCTAATTATACATTTTCAAAGTCTCGGTCTGTCTAGGAGAGATTTTATGATTCTGTGACTTATGGTCAAGAAGGTACCTAAATATGTTAGTTTTTAAAGAAGTCATATCAATAGCTCCATTTGCTTTGAAACCATGATGAAACTTTATATGCCTGTGTTGTTTCATGACATTCTTTCCAGGCTCTGTGCTTCTCACGTCACAGATACATTGTATTTTCTCTTACTCTTCTTACTGGGGAAAGAAAAGGACTGCGTATGCCCTTTGCATACTTACTTGGGGATCGTTACATATTAAACTGTCTTTAAAAGTTTGGTTTTTCAGGCCAATCACACCACTCCTTTTCCTCAGAGGTCTGATTTTCCAAGCTTAATCATCCTGTGGTAGTCCTCTGAGCTGTCCAAGTTTTCCACATCCTTCTTTAGATGAAGTCCCAGTGTGGCTCACTGGGGCCTAATGGGAGTTTGGAGGGCTCAGTGATATGTTTTTTTTCCTAAGCTAATTAAGTGCAGAATAAGCACTCTGGCAGAAACATCGATACAATTTAATTTTAAAATGAATTTTTATGGAAACTTGATGAGCTCTTGACTATATCCAAATGTCAGTCCTCAAGTCATTTACTGAGAGATGATTGAATACACAAACAAAATGGAAATTTGTCTAAAGAAGAATGACTATGACACTTTGGAATGACAAACTAATACAGACATTTTTATCAAGAGAAAACCTGAATGGTGGGACCCAAAGGGAGGTCTGAAAAGTAATTATCATTCCTCTGTAAGGCTAACTTCAAACTGTGTGAGTATAAATTTAACCACGAAGACTTTCCTGATCCCATACCCTCAGATTTTCCCCTTGCCATGGTATTTATCACACTGCTTTAGACTTTAGTTTGTATTTGGCTTCCTCCTTCTTTCAACCGTCCTTCACAATGTCATCATAGTTAAATAATTAAACACAGAATGTATTACAGTTTACCTCAAAACAAGAACTTTCACATTTGCATAACTTTGCATGTTTTTGCATTCCAGATTTTAATTCAAAGCATAGCTCAAACGTCACTTCTCTATGGCCTTTCTCGATGCCCCACTTTCCATCCCCAGAACAGATTACTTTCTCTCTTAACTGTGTTCCTATAACAATTTATACCTATTAATAATTTATCAATTATTTGGCTTCAACTTAATTACTTGTGCATCTCTCTTTTCAACACTGTGTAATCTTCAGGGCCAACCCCATATCTTCTTTCTGAATACATGATCTGGCACATAAACATTTAAGAAATTGAATTTTGAATATTATATCTCCATGACTACACTTACGCCTTTTAAGGGTGGAATACCAAATGCAATTCCCCACAGCATGCTGCAAACATCTATTGAATGTGTAGTTAAACAATAAGGCAATGACATAGACTTTCCTTCATGACACAGAATAAGCCAACACAACCACAGATGTCCTCGAGCTTACCGGTCCATGGCATGTGAGGATGCCGTCTTCCATCTTCTCACACTGGGGGTCACACTCCACACAGATGGAGCCGTTCGCAAACTCCCGAAATTCGCTGTGGAAACATCAGCTGCATGAGGTGGTGTAAGCAAACAAGCTGTCAACTTAACAAATGAAGTAACATCTGCTAAGAGTCCTATTGGCAGAGTACATTCTAGAGTTTGTTTCTCTCTGTGCCAGGAGCATCGGAATCATTTCTCTGAACATTAAGGAATGAAAGTTCTCCATTAGGAGAAGAGACAAACTGCAGCCAGATGGTTCTCCTTGCCCTCCACTGGGTTCAATGATAGACTCATTCAGGAAACCTCTCTCTGGTGAGAGAGATTACAGACATCTCAAAAAAAAAAGTGTAACTCTTCTGATGACATAGCAGAATTGGTTTTAACTTCTTAAGTAAGGCTGTCACCGCTGGTCTCTCTATAAAATTTTACTCTTAGTGGGAGCTCTGCTTTTTAAACTCTGATAGAACTATTGTCTTTTTCTCATTGCTAAGTTACATGAATATTCCCCCATTCTTGTCCTTCAAATCCCAAGACTCTTTAATTTATTTTTGGTGAAACTTCAAAAACTGCTTTGATTTCTTTTCTTCTTTTAAAATATATGCCTTAGAGAATTAGAGAAAACATCTTTTTTATGGCAGGTTTTATTTTCTTGGACTATTGATCTAATATCACAACATCTTTTCCAGTTTAAATTCTTTTTGAAGTAATGCTATATGATGTAAAATAAAAAATAGTTTAATAGTAACATTCTAAAACTTTTTAATTAAGAAATCTGGGATGATGGTCATCCCTTCACACAACCTTATACACTATGGCTATTTGTAATCTATATCTACTCTAAAATTTTCATTTTGATGATTGAGTATTAGTCATGTACAATAGTTTAAACCACTGTATTCCTACTAATGTATGAGTGAATGAAGTACTGGGTCAAGATAATCTAGAATGTCAGTTATGAGTCATTAACAAAATGTCTAAATAGCTATGGCTACTGTATTGCTCCGTGCCTTTGTATTTTGATGCACCATTCCAAACTAATAGCACTGCAAATATGATAATTTTAAATTAACTAGGTGATAAATTCAAATTAATTTTTCTCTTGAGTGAAATATTTACTTTTTTTATACTGAATTATCTCATTTTGTCACTGTAAAGCCTTAATAAATGAGAGAAGTCCAAAAGTTGGACTCTATTTTCTGTTGTTGAGATTAAGACTACATCTACTTGATTTCTTAAATGAATAGGACACATCAATAGTTAAGTTACATATGAATGCCAATATTTACATGGATTTTACATTTTTAAGTGAGGTGTTGGCCTGTTATGGATTAAACATGTTATGAACTTTCTTAAGTTTAAAATCTCAGTTGTATTAAAACTGATTTTCTTTAGCATGTTTTGTCAACATGAGTGATATAAAATACTCAACTAGGAAATCTTTTAAACATAAAGGGAAAAATGGCCTAGTATTGGGGCTGGGGGAGTAGCTAAATTGTAAAGAGATTCAGAAATGTTATCTGTTTAATGAAATTACATAACAGTTACAGCAATGCCTGTGTCATCAGTGAATTACATTCTCTGTCTACAGATTTCTAGGGTGACTAAAGGGTTATGGTACTAAATAAAGGCCATCATTTTTATGACACTAAAATATAGGTCATGTTTATCTTTCTTTTCTCCTAAATCTCCTTTCCCACACACGGAGTTGAGGTAAAGAGAGTATGTGACTGAAAAACTCATAGAGACAAGCTAGCTGCCTTTTCTTCTCTAGACTGATTTCCATTTGCAGGGCTTCTGGCTCTCTTCCTCTCGGCCCCCAGAACAGGTTCTCCTTGCAGGTTCTCTAACTTCTCAGTATTATTACTGTCTCCATCACAGCCCTTTTTCTTCCAGCTCCTCTAGTGACTCTACTATGATTTTGCCAGTCATAGTAGACTTTCTTGCTATGACTTTCACTTGAATCTGACCTAACAAATCACAGTTTACTGAGCATGAGCTTTGTGTAGAGAGTTTTTTATTACTTGTGTTTTCTGCTATACATTTTTCAGTGTGCTGTGTGCCTGCTATCTTAGCCAGTCCTACCATCAATAGCAAATACTTTGAAGTCAAGTCTTCCCTAATTTAAATTCCAGCATCCACACTAATATTTCCAGGATTTAAAATCCTTAACTTCTCTAAGCTTCGATTGTTTAAGTATCCTTTGTAAAGGGGAAAAAGAACATTTCAGGGAAAGGTTTTGATTATTAATTGTGAAAATGCTTATAAAGAGCTTAGACTGGCACTTGTTTTGATTTTTTGTTTTATTCTAAAAGTTTCAGAAGTGTTTAATCACAGTGCCAGATAAGAAGATTTTAAAGATCTCATTGCAATTAGCTTTCTCTTTCATTTTGATTGCTTGTGCATTGTAGTTAAGAGTTGGCAAAATCCAGGGACTCAAATTATTTGAGTTTGAGTATTAATAGCCAGAAGTTGACTAATTTTCTTCTAACCTTTTAAAAAGCTCTTTATTTAGGATTGCTTCTTATATGATAATCAACCTCGTTTATACACATATGAATAAGATTTTGGTAAATGTCATACTATATTTGTGTTTAATTTTAGTAGTTTTTCAGGTGATGGTTCTACCTAACCATTTAGTCAGCCCAGATTAACAGACACAGAAATAGTAACAATTTTAATGTTAAGAATTTTAAGAAAATTTGTTATCTATCTTCTCATTTCATAATCACAACTATTTTATGAAGTTGACAGCATTACTATTCTTATTTTCATATAAGAAAACTGAGTTAACAATAATTAGCTTATTTGTGTATGGTTGGGCATTTCAAGTAGGAAGTGATGAAGTTAGGTTTTGAATTCAGCTTCCCTCAAAGGCTGTCTTAACCATCAGGCAACGTTAGAAGAAATTATCCAATACCACAGGGCTGGAGATGGAGTAATCTATCATGTTTGGGCAGGCAAGATTCACAAGAGATTCTTACAAGATAATACCATTTATTATCTTTTAAATTAACTCCGTGAGTATGGTTTTCTAAGGCCCCATTACTACCGCAAAATACATGAAAAGCATTACATTTCCTTAATACATTTGATTTAATGACATGGTAAATGTCAAATTTTTAGAAACAGTCTGGTAATTATTGTCGTTTCTTTAGGAAACAGTATTTTTCCTTTGCTTAGTTTTCACTGTTTTGCCACCAGTTGAGACAGAGGCTGGGGTATACATCCACATATTTATCAATTTTATATTTTTGATAAGTTTAAAACTAAAATATTAAAGAAAAGCAATGGCATCCAGAAAGGAAAAAAATGAATGTGATGCCTTGCATCACAGTGTTGGTTTGGTTCTTCTGCAGGGGCTTGACTGTGGGCAATACAGACTCCACCAGTTCTCACTGATTGGAATTGCACAGATACATTTAATTCAGTTTTAGTGTAACCTTCCCTTCACAGAATTAAAGTCTATTAGTTTCATTATAGTGGCATGGATTGCCACACACAAATAAGCATATTTGACTGGAGGTATTTTATGTACAGAAAATATCACACTTTCATAATAATAAACAAGCATGAACACATTTCAATGAGACAAACAGCACATAATTTACTATTCATTATCAAATTTATGAGCTGATTGTACCTTATAAAATTATAAGCTGAAATTTTCCTGAAAAACTATCAAATTATTATTTAAAGATTTTGTTCCTTTATAAAAAATTAATCTTTTTCCCAAAAAATTCCTTGGACAGGATTAATTGAGGTCATCCTTCAAAGAAGAGACATATCAATATCCTTATGATTCTGATATTTCTATCTTTCTAGTGTAAAATGCAGAAGTATAATGTTACCTGGGATCATGAAAAGGGTTGTTAAAATGAGACAATTCATGGGGCAGAAGACATTAAATAAAGAAATTCAAAACTACACATTTAAAAAAACTGTTGAAAGCACTTTCTGTGAGCAATATTAAAAAAATTTGACTCAGGGACAGTATGAAAAAATGTATTATCACACTAATGAAGGACAACTACGATGCGTGAAATGGTATGTGATGATAAAGTGATTTTATGAGTATATAAAATGGCAGGCAGCAAGGTATATACTAGGTTTTATTGTAGTAGTAGAAGAAATTTAAGGCACTTGACTTAAAATATTGCTTAGGTTATCTTTAGAAAGTGGCAGAACACTTAGAAAAACCTATTCAAGTAGAAACTATGAGGGTAGTTTTTCTATAGGACTAAGCAGTTGTCAGAGACATAGAAAAATGCGCACCATTCCTAATACCAAATCAAATAGACATGCAACCTAAATTGAAAAAAAAAGTTATATATAATTGTAGATGACTACTGATAGATAGTATGAGAAAAAAGATTATTGGGACATATAAAAGGAAAGATCACTTACAACAATCCTTTTTATAAGAATAGAAATATAGTTTTCAATTTGCTTAAGAGAAATTTCAATATTTTGTTAAGAATTATCTATTCTGTTACATGTTTTTTAAATGTAAATAAACTCAATATATACTTGGACTTGTTATTTCAAATAATGTAATTTTCTCTTTAATTAATTTTATATAAGTCGTCTCCTTAACGCAACAAAAGCTCTCTTTGAAAAATCTTGGCCAGGATAGCCATACTGAAATTTTACAATATTCTTGTCATTTTAAAATCTGAACCGAACAGCACCTCCAAGGTCACGGGGGACAGGCGACATGTGGGATGCCTTACCCGTCATAGAGATTACAAGACTCTATGCAGCTCCTGCCCCTGCTGAAGCGGCGGCAGGACAGGCACTGGTCTGGCCCGGGTCCCCAACAGCCATCGCTTGAACACAGATGGTTGCACACCATTCCTTCAGCAGCTGAAAAAAACACCAGAATGAAGAGGAAGTAAACAGAAGCACATGTCAAAACCTACAAGTTTAATATATACACCTTCCTGAGGAACGCCATCTCTGTGGGAGTTGGACTGAAAGAGGTCTACAGCAGACAGCTTCGGTAGCCTGTGTGGTCGCCGCAACTCACAGTATCTGCAACTTCCTCCTATGGCAGCGCTTGGTCACTGTGTCTGTACAGCAACAGTGCGCTTTTAATAAAACAGAACAAATGTCAATTGTCTATGTCTAAACTCTATGGTGGACATGTTAAAGAAATTAGCCCTCCCATTAAGGAGAGGACAAACCACACCTTTCTGAAGCCCACCCTTTGTTCCACAATCACACCAAACTTTTGGCTTCAATTCCATACAACAGCTTCATAAAGAAAGAGAACAAATGATACTTGTTATAAAACAGAAATAATATTAAAAGAGGAAATGGATAAAAAAGCAAATATATGGAAAAAACAAGAAGGTGGGGAAGAAATAGAAATTAAATACTGTACAAGTTTACTGGTGTCTGCTGTACTCCGATGAGGCATTCTGATCTGCATTTCCCAAATGATTAAAGATATTGATGATTTTTTGATGATGAACTCCTTTAACTTAATTTTAATGTAATTATTTGATAGCCATATACTTTGTTTGGTGAAGTGTCACCACATCTTATGTCAATTTTATATTGGATTGATTGTTTTCTTAGTATGGAGTATTGAGAGCTCTTTCTATATTTTGTAAATATTTTCTTCCAGTCTTAGCTTTGTCTTTTCCTACTTTGAACACTGCCTTCTAATAAGAACTTTTAATTTTGGTTAAGTACAATTCATCAATTTATTTTTTATGAATTGTACTTTGGGTATCATACCTAAGAAATCTTTGTCTAACCCAAAGTAACATAGTTTTTCTCTGATGTTTTCTTTCAGAAGTTTTAAGAGTGTGGCTGTTACATTTAGGTGCATGATCCATTTTGAGCTAGTTAATGTGTATGGTATTATATTAGTCAGGGTTCTTCAGAGAAACAGAGCCTGATTTTAAAATACTGAATTAGACTTGTATCCCTGTAATAAATCCCACTTGGTTATGCTTCATACTCAATTTTACATATTATTGAATGCTATGTACTACCCTGAGAGATAGAATAGTTCATACTTTTAATTTTTCTGTGGCATAGGGTACTCTTTGTTCATATTTGGGTGCTAATCTTCAAACCTCTCATGCAAAGTAGGAATATTCATTCATTTTACAGATGGGCAGAGGCTCAGAGAGGCTGAGCTGCCCAAGGCCACAAGTGTCAGAGTAGGGGTTTAAGCACCATTCTGCCTCCTCTCTTTACTGCCCAATAGGGATGAAAGTTCCAGCTCCCTGTTCTGCCTGACACTACCTGGTGGGGAGGTGGGCATTGCATTACAACCAGGTGAAGGTAGGAAGCTGGGGAGCCTACACATCTCACTCATTTGCTTGCATGGATGAACCTGGGGTCACAGTTTGTTTGTTTGTTTGTTTAATTATTTTGGTGTTTGGCTTGGGTAGAACAGCTATTGTCTAACAGGTTTTTGTCTTGCTAGTTTGCACCTCTCCAGGCCTTCTGTTTAGAAGAGAAAACAGGCTTTTGTTGGGGGCTATTTTGGTCTGCACCTGTTGGTGTTTCTGAGTTGCCAATATCTACACCTTTACATACAGGATACATGAGACAAAAATAAAACAGAACTCACATCTGTGTGTTTCTGGGATTCTAAGGTGCTAAATTTGTCTTTTTTTTTCTTCACCTTCCAAAATTTTATTCTATTCTTTATATGTAATGTTTGGGGGTTTTAGTTGTACTTAGCAAAAGGACTAGAGAAAAGTATATCTACTTCATCTTCCCAGAAGCAGAAATCTAGTATACATGTTTAAGTCACTGTGGTCTATTTTCAAGAAATACTTTACCACTTCAGGCATACTCTAAAAACCTGAAAGTAAGTTGATCTATTTATTTCACCAACTCATATTCTTTTTTTTAGTTTGGAAACCTCTCGTTCTTGTCTCTTCTCCCTCCATAATCCAAGGGTGACAGAACTCTACAGTACAAGGAAGGGAGGAAAGCTGGAAGATATTTATAAAAAAATTGTGTATTTATTCTTACATGGTTAAACTTCTGTCACCTTCAAAGGCTCTTCTTTTGATAAAATACACCTATTGAGATGTCTTTCCAATTGCTCAAACCAGTTTTTGAACTCTTCAATTTTTATGTCTTTTAGTGCTTCTACTTTTTTTGTTTGTTTCTCCTCTTTCGCACAGGCAAAACATTTCTCTTTGTGTACTGCTTTCATCAGGGGAAACAAAAAAAAGTTGCTGGCAGCAAGATTGGGTGAATAGGGAGGGTGGGGCAGAGGAATCATGCTAATTTTGGTCAAAAACTGCTGAATGTGCAGTTCAGTGTGGGCAGGTGTGTTCGTGAATCACCCATCATGAACGGAACAAAAGGCTTTGAAAGAGTCTTCAAAAAAAATCACTGAAGTTGAACACAACCTCTCACAACAATGCCAGTTGATACACTGATGCAGATGGGTTCCTAGAACACTTACCTAGCAGGGGAAGCCAGTACCAGGAGGGGTCTGCCCCTAGAAGATAATTCCTCTTTTGGGGGTCCCCCTTGTATGCAGAGGGGTGAAATCTCTTTGCTTTGATTTTCTTATGTATCCTTTGACTTTAGTTGGAGAGGAGGGTTTTAGCTTTACTCAAGCTACCTTCACTTTTGCTGCTTACTGCCCCCCTTAGTCTGTATTCAAATGCTCAATTACAGAGCAATTTTGGATTAGGGAAACAGTATCTATTGGAGAAAAGCAATAATAAAGAGAAAACTATAATGATTACTTTCTTTTCATTCATTCCAAACCAGTAGATGATGATGTGGAAGGATGGTTGATCATTTCCTCCAAAGTGAAACCAAGGAAAGTGTCTCCACACAGCACAGAACAAAAGGCCAAGGATGCTACCTCTTTGAAATTCTTAAGAGAAAAGAAGTTTTTGATCAATGCCAAGAATTCAACAGCCCTTGGACCTCCTCCCTACACGGGAAGGAGTAGGAGGCCTATTCAATAGCTGACAGTACACAAGGCCACTGTAAACCTCTCTAAAGAGACTTTACCGATGTAGTTATTAGGCAACCTTTAACTTTCTCTGTGTTTTCTCTGGAATCTGTGAAATAGATTTTTCTTTATCTCATATGAATTTTCCTGGTATGCTAAAAATTTATTGATGAAAGGAAACTTGACTTGGGGTGGTGAACATGTAGTACAGTATACAAATGATGGGTTATAGAATTTCATTCCTGAAACCTATATAATTTTTCTAATCCTCACCCAAGGACATGTTTATTGATTTTAGAGAAAGAGGAAGGGAAAGAGAAGAGAGAAAGATCAATGTGAGAGAGAAATATTGATTGGTTGCCTCCAAAATGTGCCCTGACCAGGGATAGTCCTAGGAACCCAGGCATGTGCCCTCATTGGGATTTGAACCCACAACTTTCAGTTGTATGGGACAGCACTCTAATCAAATAAGCCACCTGGCCTGGACTGAAACCTATATAATTTTATTAACCAATGTCACCCAATAAATTCCATAAAAATAAAAAAATAACAAAAATATTAGAGAGATAATACTGTTTGGTATTTTGACCTTTATAGATAATATTGAACTTGTTCATTAAAAGATGGGCAAGTGTAACTAGTGGATCTTGTTACTGTGCTGCATGTGTAAAAAACTTGAAGCATGTGCAATTATGGCCAACATTTATTTTTCCAGCTTTATTGAGATAAAATTACTTATAGTATTGTGTAAGTTTAAGGTGTGCAATGTGATCTGATATATTTATATATTGCAAAATATTTACCACACTAAATTTAGTTCACACATGTTTTATCTCAAATAATTACCCATTTGTTATTGTTATGTTGAGAATATGGAACCTGCATTCTCTTTTTTTAATGTATTTTATTGATTATGCTATTACAGTTGTCCCATTTCCCCCCTTCTCTCCCCTCCACCCTGTACCCCCTCTCCCACCCACATTCCCCCCTTTAGTTCATGTCCGTGTGTCATACTTATGAGTTCTTTAGCTTCTACATTCCCCGTACTATTCTTGCCCTCCCCCTATCTATTTTCAACCTACATTCTGTGCTACTTATTCTCTATACCTTTTCCCCCCTCTCCTCCTCCCACCCCCCCCTGCTGCTAGCCCTCCATGTGCCCTCCATTTCTGTGGTTCTGCTCCTGTTCTAGTTGTTTACTTAGTTTCTTTTGGTTTTGCTTTAGGTGTGGTTGTTAATAATTGTGAGCTTGCTGTCCTTTTACTATACATGTCTTTTCATTATCTTCTTTTCTTAGTAAGTCCCTTTAGCATTTCATAAAATAAGGGCTTGGTGATGATGAACTCCTTTAACTTGACCTTATCTGAAAAGTTCTTTATCTGCCCTTCCATTCTAAATGAGAGCTTTGCTGGATAGAGCAATCTGGGATGTAGGTCCTTGTCTTTCATGACTTGGAATATTTCTTTCCAGCCCCTTCTTGCCTGTAAGGTCTCTTTGGAGAAATCAGCTGACAGTCTGATGGGAACTCCTTTGTAGGTTACTGTCCCCTTATCTCTTGCTGCTTCTAGGATTCTCTCCTTCGTTTTTACCTTGGCTAATGTAATTATGATGTGCCTTGGTGTGTTTCTTCTTGGGTCCAACTTCTTTGGGGCTCTCTGAGCTTCTTGGATTTCTTGGAAGACTGTTCCCTTTGCCAGATTGGGGAAGTTCTCCTTTATTATTTGTTCATATACGTGCTCAATTTGTTGCTTTTCCCTTTCCCATTCTGGTACCCCTATAATTCGGATGTTGGAACATTTAAAGGTGTCCTGGATGCTCTTAAGCTTTTCCTTGATTTTTTTGAATTCTTATTTCATCATGCTTTCCTACTTGGTTTATTCTATCTTCCTTCTGGTCCACTGTATTGTTTTGAGACTCA